AGGATTTAAAAGAAAGGTAAATGTATGTTATATAAGAAGCATATATATAAGAAATTTATATATATATAAAATACATTATGTAGAGGTATGATACATAATAATAGATGTACTATTTTTATAAAAATAAAAAGATACATATTTGTATATACATAAAACATCAGGAATGAAACAAGCTAATTGTCAATAGGAGCAATCATTGTGGGAAAATATTGACCTTTTTTGTGGTCTTTATTTTTACAGTATATTCATAAGTGTATACTCATTTTAAAAAACTGAATAATAGGCCAAAACGTTAACAGTGGTTACCTTTGAATGGTGGGGCTAAGGTTTATTGTCCATTTTGCTCTGCACACATTTTTATATAGCCATGTGCTGCATGAGGACATTTTAGTCCATGGTGGACCACATAGACAGCAGCGGTCCCACAAGGTTATGATGGAGCTGACACACGCCTGTCACCTGGCGACAACATAACATCTCTGTGTTGTAGCATAAAACAGGATGTGCGTGTTTATGGTGACACTGGTGTAAACAGATCGTCCCTGCTGCCAGTTGTATAAATGTACAGCACATACAATTATGGACGGTACAGAACGCTTGTCCTGATAATACATGACTATGTTACTGGTTTCTGTATTTACTATCCTATACTTTTTTCTCATTATTTTAGAGCCTGCTCCTTCAACCTATGTCAAAAGTTTACTGTAGGGGACCAGCAGTTAGCGTAATGGCTATGTCGCTGGACTCCCATGTAGTCGACCGCGGTTTGAGTCCCGAACCCGGTGGCTTAAACTCGCACTGGGCGTATGTGCATGCGTGTCCAAGATCCCGAGAGGAGAATGGAGGAAAAGGGATTGTGGCGTGGCCATCCCCCCTGGGGGGTGATTTCTCACTTTCTGTCTCTCTGTCTCCGTCTGTCTGGTGAGCGCACGTGCCATATAGCAAATACCCCCCCAAAAAAAAAAAAAAAAAAGTTCATTGTAGAACTGGGTGGTGTACTGTGTCGGCAGCACCTCACACATCTTGTGTTCACCACGGGTTTCGGTTGTTTCATCTTCGCATGGTTTTGTCCCTTATACCTTAGCACCAAACAAGACGTGGAGTGACATTGTGATCTTCACCTCTGTGCTGGTCTATACTAATGTGTCTGTTTGAGTCTTAGTTTTTAACTGAAAGTTTTAAAAATTAAAACTAAATTAAAAATTTAGGGACCAGCAGTTAGCATAATGGCTATGTCGCTGGACTCCCATGTAGTTGACCGCGGTTTGCGTCTCAGACCCCGTGACTTAAACTCACGCCGGGCACGTGTGCGAGCGTGCCCAAGATCCCGAGAGGAGAACGGAGGAGAAGGGATTGCGGTGTGGCCATCCTCCTTGGGGGGTGATTTCTCTCTTTCTGTCTCTCTGTCTCTCTTTGTCTGGCGAGCACACGCGCCCTATAGCAAAAAACTCTTTAAAAAATTAAAAATTTAAATATGCTTATAGAATAAGAATATGAACAAAAGATCTTTCTGCAGCTGTACGATGTCTTTGTGTTTTAAGCTAAATGTTAACACAAGAGTCAGAAAGTTAAACAAAAATGTCAAAGTTTTGAAAGTAAAAATGTTACAATAAACTAAGGTTCATTTATTATTCAAGAAAGAAAAATGTTTATTTATAAATATAGTGTTGCCTAAATGTATAGTTTCTTTGTTTCTTAATTTGCAGAGGGCACTCGTGTGCCCACTGGAGACAGAGAGAGGGAGGTAGGGAAGGAGAGAGAAAGTACCCTCTATGGCAAATGGCCATGCCACAATCCCCTCACCTCCATTTCTCCTTTTCTGGTTTTGGGAACACACACCCAGGCAACTAGCAAGTTTCTCAAAGCTGGCCCCAGGGCTTGAACCATGCAGTTGGTCATGTGGGATCCAACTACTTTAGCCATTTACTTTAACCACCACACTACTGGCTTGCTCACCATAAAGTCTTGATAAAGTCTACAGTAGTGCATGGTAATATCCTAGGCTTTCACATGCACTCACCACTCAGTCACTGACTCACCGAGAGTGACTTCTAGTCCTGTCTACTCTATTCATGGTAAGTGCCATAGACGGGTGTACTTTTTTTTAAAAAAAAATCATTTATAGTGTATTTTTGCTGTATCTTTTCTATGTTTAGTCATATTTAGATACGCAAACACTTATCATTGTGTTGCAACTGCCTACAACATTCAGTACAGTAACATGCTATGCACATAACATAGGTGTGCAGCAGGCATTACCATGGAGATTTGTGTGAACACACTATGATTTTTGCACAACTAAATCATCTGATGACATATTCCTTAGAATGTATTCCCGTCTTTAAGTGATACATGACTGCATTTAAATTATTTCCTCAAAGGATATTGCAATCATAATAGCAACTGAACTGTGAAGTTTGATTAGAAAAACATCATGAGAAAATAAAATGTAAAGGAGATTGGCTTGCCTACATGTAAGGGTAAGGACAGAATTTACAGGAGATAGACTGGATTCATGGAAACAAATTGGGAAGATAATGATGGTATCCTTGTCAGCCTTGGACAGAGCTGGGAAGGTGGGAATGGAAACAGAAAGGAGCAGAATAGATCAGACATAGTTTATAGAGAATAAAGACAGGATGTTGTTTGATACAGAAGATGAAAGTGAGGAATGAATCAAAGATATTTTTTTTTTCCCAAGGATGACCACGGGATGAGGGATAAAGTGACAAGATTTGAAAAGTCTAGAGAGGAAGCCAATTTTCCTTCACAGCTCATCATGAGTTTCTTCATAAACATGTAGAATTTGAGGTCACAATGAGACATCCCCAACGAAACCACCACTGGGCAACTGGAGATAAGGACCAGACTTATAAGATAATCACTTCACACTTACCAGTTTCAAATGGGAAGATCTGACTTCAAAATGGTGAGACGAATTTTGTGGATGACTTGGGAGCCTCTTCCTCACCACTCCAATTTGAACAAAGTACAAAGGACATGTTGGAGGTGATGAAAACATTTTGGAAATAGGTATTTGTAATGGTTGTACACACTATGAATGTAATTAATACGGCTGGGCTATACCCTTAAAAATGATGAAAACAGAAAATGTCGTCATACATACAGTTTACAATTAACAAATAATCCCAAAAAAGTACAAGGAACGTGAACTCACAAATCGAAAAAGAAACCTATGTGGTTCAGACCACAGGTAAAAAGATGTTTGCAATCCTATTAATTTCTCATTTAGCCATTCCTACCTGAAGAGGGTATAGGGTATGGGCTGAGAAGAGGAGATTATTTCTCTGCAGAGTTCGTTTTATGTTTTCAGATATCATCATCATCCAGAGGGATTTATTTATTGCCAAATTAAACTCGAGCTCTATCAGGTACTGCACAGAGATAACAGCATAGTGGTGGTTGCTGGCTTCTGGACTCTTACTTAAACAAACAGGCAAAGCATTTACAGACAGGAGAGAACATTCTAAACAATGCAAAAATAGCGAATACCCACATCATGTGCAATTTGACATTGTTGAGGGAGAGAAGGAGGAGAGCTTACTGGGGAAAGAATGAGTGTTGCTGTCCACATCTGTTAAATGCCACTGATACGTGTTTGAGGGAAAATTCACCTATCTGCTTATTCAACAAACATTGGTCAGATTTTACCTCCATATGCAGGTCATTGGTTCTAGAAATATAAAAATGGAAGCAACATAAGCCTTGTCTTCAGAGGACATTGGTAAAAAAACATTTGGTACTAGGGAAATCGATTAGTTAGTATGCTTTTGACTGCGAATAACAAAAGTTCTAAGAAAATGTGGCTTAAATAATAAGCATAACAGTAACTCTCACTTAAAAGATCTCAAGGCTGAGGGTCCTAACATTGGTTAATTCAGTGGCCCAGTATCATCATGAGGGACCCCAATCTTTCTCCCTTTCAACCTTAATATGCTCAGTGTGTTGGCTTCAGCCTTTGGGTTTGTCCTCACTCATAAAGATAGCTGCTGCAGCTCTAGCCATCATATCCTGAAGCAACCAGAGCTGAAACTGTGAGGATTAAGAAAACTAATGCAAACACAGAGCATAGGTAAATAAGCAGACAATTTATGGAACAGTATACCAGAGCTGAGTAAACATGCCACTGACAACTCAATATATACTTCCAAAGACAAAACAAAACAAACTAGAAGTTTTGTCAAATATGTACAACATTTATGTAATAGTCACTGTAGAAAGACAGTAAATATACCTGTATCCCTAATTTGATTATTACACACTGTATATGCATGCTTTGAAAAAGCATACCATACACCATAAAGATGTACAATGATTATTTGTAAACCAGGAATCATAATTTAAAAATTAAAAAAAAACATTAAAAATAAAAATAAAACATAGTTGGGGAACCAGCAGGTGGTGTGGTGACTAAGGCGCTGGATACTCCCACATGACAGACCACTGTTCAAGTCCTGGACCTGGTGGCTTGCTTTCTCACTTTCCCTCTCACTATCTCTGTCTCTCTGTGTCTCTCTCTGGTTAAATTAAAATAAATGAATGAATAAATAAAAATAAATAAATAATTCTTTTAAAAAGCTATGTCATAAAAAATAAAGCATAAGGCATGGTATATAAAAACGTCCATGGAGGTTAGCTTTCATTATTTTTCTGTTATGTGATAACTGCTCAAAGACACTGCTATGTTACTTTGCTGAGCTGCTGTAACAAGTATCACATGCTAAATGCTGAAACAGCAGAAATGTATCATCTGTATTTAGTTGTGGTTTTGAAACCTACAAGTCTGAAGTCCAAATGACCACAGGGTTGGTTTCTTCTGAGTACTGTGAGTAAATGTTCTGTTTTGACCTTTCTCTGACATGTGTTTCCCCATACTGCCTTCCCTCTGCATGTATCTGTTTCTCTTCAATGGCATTCCTCTTATAAGAACATAAGCGATATTGGATTAGGTGCTCACCCTAGTAATATAACTTTATCTGTTTTTTTTTAATTTTCGAAAAGATTCTTTTTAATAAGAATTATTTTATTTAACTTTATTTATCTATTTATTTTAATTTGACCAAAGAGGGATAGAGAAAGTGAGAAAACAAGTTGCCAGGTTCAAGGCTCAAAACACAGCCAGCCATATGAGAGTCCAGTGCCCTTAACCACCATGCCAACTTCTGGACCCTTTTTTGTTTTAAAGATTTTTTTTTCCATTAAGACTTATTTTATTTAACTTTATTTATCTATTTATCTATCTATTTATTTATTTATTTTAATTTGACTAATCTGATCTTAATTACATCTGCAATGACCCTATTTAACATAGGAATTTTTGGGGGTGGACACAATTGAGTGGATAACACTGCTCATTGTTGTAGTTTAGTTCAGGTGTCTTTATGCATGCTTCTTAAAGGACCTGTCTAGAGAAAGAAAACAGGTGGAGAAATAAGGACTTGGCCAAGTGTTCAGAGTATTAGATGTCTCTTCTAGGCCGCTAATTCCCTTTCTCAGACTATAGACAGAAGTAAAAGCTGTTGTAAGGATTTTTGCATATACTGTGCTCTTTCTATAAAGAATTACGTTTTCTTCTCCTGGTTTTGCTTCTGTAACTCTTTTCTCACTCCAGCTTTATCTCACTTACTTGTTTGCTCTTTTTAAGAAAAAGAAAAAAAAAATCCTATCGTATTCATTTGCATTTCTTCCCACCTAGGAGAGAATACCAACGACCAGACGCATGTGTGTGTGTTCTTGTCTCTTTTCCATCCTCTTCTGCTATTAGAGACTGTGTCTGGAAGTTGGCCCTGTATATGTGTAGCACAGAGCAAAACAAAGCATAATACCACTTACCAACCAAGAAGCTCTCCTGCAAGCAAGAGGGTTTTCCAAGCTATTCAAAGTCGAGGGAGTACTCTTAGCTTCTTGGGGGAAATACCAAGACCATCTGGATGGTCTGTCCTTCTTTCACATAGGGTCATTGTCATTCTGCAATTGACTTGGAGGGAAGCTTCATGGAAGAGTCTTGGGTGCTACATCTAGGAAGAGATGGAGGCTGAGAAAGGCCCTCACAGGGATTCTTCCTCCTGCTTGTTAATAGAATAGTGGGCTTCTTCATCATGTCATTGCTTATCCAGGCCCCTGTCAACCTCCCTCTGCCTTTGTCTTTGTCATCCACTAGACCACCTAGTGCTTGAGAACCAGAGCTCTTCAACTTTGTAAATCTGAGCCATCCACCCAAAAGCTGTTTCGATTAGTGCAAATGGGCACATTCTCGGCATCCACTGGATAAACTTGGCACCTGTCCTGCCATTTGATAAAAATGATCAGGTGCATTTGCTATGATTACTCACGGATGACTTAACTGTATAATTTTTAATTTCAAAAGAAGCTGTCTTCAAATGAAATTAAATACGTTCCTTTGCTTTTTAATGCTTACCATTAATATTTTTAAGGAGAAAATGAAAAAAAAAAAAAAAAAGCTTTAGCATCTCCAACAGTGTGTTCCATGAGTTTCCTGGTGGGAGGTGATAAAGGCATTTTTTTTAACTGACTAAAAATGGTTAGCCACAACACCATGAAAATATCCCAGAATGTTTTAAAATGAAAAAAAAAAAGAAAAAAAACCCTCTGTGACATGGAAATAGCAATTTTGAGGGGGTCCAGGGGTTGGTGGCAGCTTTGAATGGCTGATTTTATTCTTCTCTGGACCTCCCTCCTGATTTCCACTCCAATTTCCATGGACTTCAAAAAAGCAAGCCTCCTGAGGTACAGAGGAGAAGTATGGGACCATTTGTTATTTTGGACACAGATGATTCCAACTGAGGGAGGACATTAAAATGTTTCAAGGAACACAGCCTTTGAAATACAGCAATAGATTCACATCTATAACAGACTCTTCCCTAATGTAAACCCCCTCCATCCAGGGCAGAACGCTTTTGTAACTCGGCATGCTTCAACCTCACTCCCTAGGCACCTTTTTAAGTAGTGGGATTCAGCCCAAGCCTGCCCTGATGCTTAACAACTACTTGCGCCACGCACAGATCTAAGCATAAAATTATGGTAGACAACATCATTCTAAAAATGTCTACCATTTTAAACTTTTCTGTCAAATAGAGGGTAGAAGTCTGTTTAGCTATACCTCTATTCCTGGAGGGAGGAGAATTAACACTGGATTTGTAAAGTGCCGTGTTTTCCTTAAGAGAAGGGTTTCAATTGATACAACTAGAAACCCAATCTACTTCAGTGTAATTAGCATGTTCCACGTGGAGGGGTGAGGGAGACGTCATTATTAGTTGCTGTTACTTCAAATCATGCTGAATGAAAGTGTAAATTCTGTGTCAGTTCAGTTGTTAGCTACACACTTTTTTTTTATTGAGCTGCAGATTTTTCATGATTTTTCCCCCCTACTTGTCTTTCTTTTCAATATTATTCTAGTAGTTCTAGTCTCTTGGTACCCACGGACAAGGATACTTGAGGGTTTACTCTTGAACATCTGCTCCTTTTTTTTTTTTTTCCTTTTAGAGGTTTTTGTCTCAGGGTGTATGCAAGGCTTGCCTGAGAGAGAGAAAAACAGAGACAGTGAGAGGGAAAGTGAGAATTCACCCCTCCAGGGGGGACAGCTACACTGCAATCCTTTTTCTTCCATTCTCCTTCTGAGATCTTGGGCACACATACACATGCGCCCAGCATGATTTTCAAGCCACCAGATCTGGGACTCAAACCACAGTGGGCCATGTGGGAGTTGAGCAACGTAATTGCCATGTCACCTGTTGGCCCAAAATGCACATCTTTGAATGACCTTTTACTATTTTTTCTTAGATCACTAATGAAGGCTGATTAGTTTAGCTTTTTATTTATTTATTTACTTCTTTGTTTTTTTTTTTTTTTTTTGAGGTGTTCTTCCCATTCCCCTCCTCTGACACACACTGAAATACACCTCTGGAATTACCCAATACACATCTTGTCATACCACATTGGGGTTTTTGTCCTATGGGTTTTGAATTGGCTTAACATAATACTGATGGCTTGCCTCCAAATCCAGGGATGGTACTGACTGTTTTACATCAATGCAAAACATTGTAACTTTGTCTTATTCTTAAGCTATTAATTTTTGTCTTTGGTAATTCTAAACAGTCTCCATATATCCGAATGCTGAATAACTCAACTCCTTATAAAAGAAATGGAATACACAAATATTGCTGTTCCATTTTCGGATGAAGAGAGTGAGGTGCACAATATGTGTAAGGTGCCCTTAAGAGGTTCGGAGGATAGACCACATTGACATACATACATATATTTAAAACCTTTAAAAAGTATATTTTCTTTATTTCTTCTGTGCAAGAGAGAGAGAGAGAGACTGAGAGAGAAAGAGACGGACACCTTCAACAGGCTTTCAAAGCCCCCATCCATCCCAGCCCTAGCCCAGTCATAAACATGTTTCTGATGTGCTCAGGGATGTCTTTGGATGTGAACCAACGACCTTTTCCAAGTGGGTCCAGTTGTGTTACCACTGTGCATCACCTGGGCTTTCTTCTTTTTTGGTATTTTATTCAAAGGATCCTTGAATTATGTGTGAGTGTTCAGATTCTTGTCCTGATTTTGCTATTAATTTGCTGTGAGACTCTTGAATTTTTTGAATCATTCAACACCTTTCTGGACTTCTGTTTTCTCATCTGCTAAATAAAAGGGTTAGACAAGATGGTCTCTGGAAGCCTTGCCTAAGGGCATCCTTTAAGGTTCTCTGAAATCCAGTTTTCATATATTATGGTCTTTGAGAGGAGGGGTGGTGTGGATAAGACGATAGCAGTATTTTATTTCAGCTTTGATTTAACTAAATTGGTTGAGTAGGGAACTTATAGCTACTCTTGTCTCCATATATAAAAGCGTAAGTTGCTAACTATATGCAAGGAAGCATTTCTTGGGAAAATGTGAAAAATGTAAATGTGGTAAAACTCTTTTATAATGCATACATATGATCTCTACAAAGTTGGTGATCTCTGTTCTCTTGCAGTCAGAAATCATAAAGGAAAACAAAATCAATGAGCTGCTAGGAGGGCTGTGTTTGTGTCCTTGAAGAGTAAAATGGCAAAATAAAAATGATCTTAACAGAAATGTCATTAATTGATTCAAGATAACGATTAGGGGCCCAATCTCATTTTAGTGCTATTGTACAGTCCTAGTTTTACAATTTGCTACCAGTTTGTTGGTGCAATGGTAAACTTAATTTGTGCTAATGGCTCATTGAAACTTATTACTTTTTTAAAAAACTAGAAGTCAAAACAAATAACCAAATTAAATACCATTTTCCAGTTCTTGGTTTCCTACATATACTTCTTCAATATGAAAATGCCATTGCTATGGAAAAGAAGAGTCAGCCACCATTTGGCTGAGGCCAGGAAAATAAACACTGGTATTGTCCACTTCATTACATACACAGCAAAGTGACGCGCCAAAGCCTATCACCTAGGTGCTGTTGTGACAAGGCAGGCTAGTGTGATACCTCCATTCTCCACCTCTCCAAAATGGCCTTGCAGGTATCTTCATGAGAGCTGACTCTATGGCACAGCAGTATTATACTGCTCAAGAGAAGCTGGATCCTGCATGGTGGCTGAGATTTGAATGCCAGTTTGGTCAGCCTGAACCATGCTGACAGACACATGAGTGTCCAAGACCTGGTGGGTTGGAGGGCTGGAGGAAGGGGATCTCAGCATGACTAAACCTTGTGGAGGGTGCTCCTCTCTTGCACCCACTCTCTCATATGTGTGTGCACATGCTCTAGCATCAATAAAGAAAAAAAAATTACCTTCATGAGATTATATAAAGTCTTTGCTTCAGATCCTTCGATGGATTCCATTTGGATTTGTAATAAAATCTGAACCTCGCTAAGACAGCTGAAGAAGTCCTGTGTTGGCTCACCACTGTCTCTAGTGCTGGAAACAGTATTGGGCACCAAGTAGACATTTGATGATCGTTGGCTGAATGAATTAAAATCCTTTGTGATCTTATCCCTGCTCACCTGTCTTTAATCTGCTCCAGCCACATTGACCATCTTTCAGTTGAGAAATTTACTAGGCTCCTCTTCCGCTCAAGGACTTTGGCTTGAACACTTTCCTCTTGTCTTGTTAACTCCTTCTTTTTTCTTTTTCTTTCTTTATTCCTTTTTCTTTCTTTCTCTTTTATTAGCTTTTTTTTTTTTTCAGAGGTTTTTGCTATAGGGTGCATGCGCTTGCCAGACAGAGAGACAGAAAGCAAGAAATCACCCCCACCACCACCCAGGGGTGATGGCCACGCCGCAATCCCTTCTCCTCCATTCTCCTCTTGGGATCTTGGATATGCATGCACACATGCCCGGCGTGAGTTTTAAGCCACCGGCTCCGGGACTCGAACTATGGTCGACTACATGGGAGCCCAATGACATAGCTATTATGCTAACTGCTGGTCCCTCTTCTCTTTCTTTTTATTCTTTCTTTTTCTTTCTCTTTCATTCTTTCTTTTCTCCTGTCATTCTTTTTTCTTTCTTTCTCTTTCCTTCTTTCTTTTTTTGTATATAAACTATATATTAACAGATAAGGCCTACAGACTTATTTCTTCTTGGACACACCCATGATATGACCATGATGGCCAACTGCCTTGGTGTGCTGGTCTCAGACCCAAAGGCCCCAGAAGTGGCACAGCCCTCTATGGGCCTGGATCTTCTTCAGTCTCTCCAGCTCTTCACACAGCTTGTTGTCCAGACTGTCAGCCAGGACCTGGCTATATTTTCCATCCTTTACATCTTTCTGCCTGTTCAAGAATCAGTCTGGGATCCTGTACTGCTGTGGACTCGGCATAGTAGTGATCACACATTCCCCTCATCCTCAGTGAGCTCTCCTGCCTCTGGCAAGGTCGATGCCTGCTTTGCTCCACACCATGTGAGCAGATCTTCACCCACACCCTTAATGGCAGTGATGACAAAGGCTAATTTCTGCCCATCGATGTCAGTGTTGAGTACTCATCAAATGCGCTGGAACTTCTCACGGATCACTACAGACATGGCGGTGGTCCAAGTGGCAGTGTGCAGGCCTTCTGTGGACTGTCTTCTTAACTTCTATTAGATTGTCGTGAAAGTCATGATGTATTTTTTGCATAGAAAAATGCAAAAGTTGTCATGACTTTCCTGACAACTTAATGTCTTCCTTCAGATGAAACTTGATTCCCTCAGAGAGTCTTGGTGATGCACCAACCTTATCTGGTCTCTCTTATTATTCTTTTTAACAGTACCCAGTTCTTCTCTTTCAGAGGATGATCAAATTTGGAGTTACATAATCATTCATGTGAATATTAGTTTTTAGATGGTTTCTTCCATTAGAATAGACTATTAAGTTCCATGAAGGCAGGGACTGGGTCTGCTAAGCTAAAAACTGTATGCTCTGTAATTGGTCTAGTGTTGGTATAAAATAAGTGCTCACTAAATATTTATTTAAAACACTATTCCATGGGGCCAGCAGGTGGTATGGTAGTTACAGCGCTGGGCTCTCACATGGCTGACCATGGTTCGAGTTCCGCATCTGGCAGCTTGCTTTCTCACTTTCTCTCTCTCTGTCTCTCTCTTTCTCTCTGGTGAGTGCATGTTTCCTATAGCAAATTTTAAAATAATAATAAATAAAATTAGATAATTATTTTAACATACTCTTCTAGAGAAACCACTGTCATGTTAAATATTACAACTTTATTGATTTATTCTATTTCCTACATGGAGGTGATTTTTTTAAGAAAGGGTACACAGTTCTATCCCAAGGGATAATTTCTGCTACACCGCTTACTTACATATGCTTCTTGAGATAACCTGTGAATAGATAAGCACGTATTTCCCATATATTCAACAATTTTTTTTTGATGAATGAATTCATGAATTGCTCCTATTATTACCAACCCATTGTGAAAGTTTTTCAGGGGCAACTAGATGGCAGCTTTTCATTCTCATTTTTGTTCAAAAATGGTATAAAGTAAGTCTTGCCAGGCAACAAAGAAAAAATAATATACTTTAGCCAGCTCAGAAAAAATATCTTTTCATATTGATTCTTCTTGTCTTTGTTTATAGCTCTGGATCAGAAAATAAATGTGACTATGGAATGTCAGTCACCCAACACCTATAAAGAAATGAGACATCTTTAATGAGATAACCCCAAAGTGTTCTTTCCTAAAAAGAGATCATTCTATTCTGAGGTGTTTCTGTAGCAAGAGAAATTACCTGATGAAATAGGAATTGTTCTGGTTTTTAACTGGGGGGAAGGGGAACAAACCAGAAATGGGGGAAGGTACCCCCTAAGGCAATCACTGGGAGCCACTGTCCAGGTTGAGAGGCTGGGTCCAAGAGAGTTGGTCACACAGAGTTCTGGGCCTGCAACAATGGAATGAAAACTGCAGACAACCCTACGGGGCACTGGCTTCTCCATCCTGATCACAGGGACAATCACTGGTGCTCATGCATTATGTGACCTGGTCCACTCTGAGCTGAGTCTTGGTGTCTGTATTTGTTTCTTAGGGATGCTATAACAAAGCACCATAAATGTGGTGACTTAACACAGCAGAAATGAATTCCCTCACAGTTATGGGGGTGAGAGCACCAAAATCAAAGTATCAGTAAGACTATGTTGGGCCAGCCCTGTAGCCTAGTGGTAAGGGAGCCAGATCCCACACGGCCAGCTGAGGTTCATATCCCAGTCCTGGCAGCTTGAAAAACATGCTAGGCACTTGCATGTGCATGCCCAAAATCCTGACAGGAATAAGAAATGGAGGAGAAGGAACTGTAGCATGGCAATGTCCCATCTGGTGGTGCTTTCTCCCTCCCAGTCTCTGTCTCTCTCTGGCAAGTGCTCATGCTCTCTGGCAATTAAAAGAAAGGGGGAGGGGCTATGTTCTCCTGAATGCTCTAGAAAAGTTTCTTTCCTTGCCTTTTCCAGATTCTGGGGCATAATTTTTGTGTCCCTTGGTCTGTAGCTGTAGCTGTACCTTTCCAATCTCTGTCTCCTTTGTCACATGGCCTTCTATCCCATGAGTGTGTTCCCATGTGGTCACACAGTCTTATAAGGACACCGGTCATTGAATTCAGAGTTCTCCCTAATCAAGTACAACCAGATTTTAAGTTAACTAAGTACATCCACAAAGTCTCTAGTTTCAAGTAAGGTCACATTCTGAAGTTCCAGGTGAACGTGAACCTCTGAGGAACACTATTCACCCCAGAACAGTGCTCAAGGCAGATGACCTGTGACCAAAGCCTACAACCATCTGAACATCTCTAGCAACAGAACCTCTCCCCTTCTGCCAGCAGAGACCCCAGGACCTTCCATACTTTCTTCACATGCCTACAATTTAAACAACTCTCTTACACAATTTGTTTTTAGATCTAGTGTTATTTTTATTACCTTTCACACAAATCCTTTCAAGTACTAATCCTAACCAACATGATTACACCACAACAAAACCCACCCCACAGGGGAACTGCTTAAGGTTTAGATGAACTCAAATCTAAGACGTGGCCTCCAGGCAGAGCCTTCCTGAATGAAAACCTGGGTCTTGCTGCTGCATTGTGCACAGTGCTTTAGAAAGCGGCTCTTTGTTAAAATCCTGGTAGCACAATGACAAATACAGCAGCCCACACAAGCAGTGAGACTGGCCGCCAGGCATGGCGGGGATATTTTGAGTGGTGCTCTGGAGGAGTTATGAATGAATTGTGCTCCTTTCCCTACTTTTAGCTGGTAGACAGCAGAAGCACTTTCCTCCTGGGGCAGGCACGAGTCAGTTTGCTGACAACACCTGAGCAAGGGAAATGCCAGTTTCAGAGAGTGCTGGGCAGTAAATGCATTGAGATGGTGCCCCAGAGACAGAGCTGGTCCTGTGAATATGGAAACTGAGATGGTGGGCGTGGATGGCGGGAGACTCAGTTCTTGCCCTAAGAGCAGCGTGTCCTATCCCTTCTATAACTCAGGGCTTGCTCAATCCTAACATGAGGGGCTGACATGTTGCCTGATTCGTTGGTGACAAGCAATTCTAATTTTTCTGATCATACTGCATTCTTATCTGACCCTGATTAGCTCATTCATTCCCAGTTCCTGGGCCTGCAAACGTATGCTTGACTCTTGCACACATCTCTAAACATCTCATTATAAAACATGGTTTCTCCATTTATAAAGCGGGCATAAATACTTAGGTAAAATGGCAATGAGATCTAAGAAACAGCCAGAGAAACAGCATCCATGATTCCAACAGAATCTGAATGTCTAATGAGCTAGGGACCACGCTAAGCATGAGGATACCAGGACGGAAAGGAGGGCTCCCCCCAGTCTCTGGCTGAGGCATTAAATCAGTCACAGGTGGTCTGAGAACATCAGGCCTAAACTGCTTGAAAATGAACCCCGAAGCCACTTCTCATTTACTTCAAGAGGCACTGCCTTTTGAGTAGGTCACATGAGAAAATCCCCTTTGGGGTAAAATATTTCCTTGATGTGGTAAGTATTGGAAGTGCTGCATTCTGGATGAGACGGGGAAAGGGCAAAGCTATTCTCGGGAGTGAGGCCTATCTGCTTTGTTCAATACATCACTCGGCCATCAGAGAGATGCTGTCACTCGGCCAAGCATGGGGAACAGAGACAACAGAACCGAAGGTCCCGCATATATAAACACAGGCTAATGCTTCACTAACCTGGTTGTCATCACGTACTGACTTGAACATGTTAATTAGATGAGTATTTCAGGAGCTCAAAGGCGGAAACTCCAACCTAAGAGAAGATGGGAAGGAAAACCGCTGCCTTTTGGAGGGACTAAAGGGGCCTCGATGGCAGCGTGGCAGTGCAGGGTTGGGAAAAGGACATTGGC